GTATCTCCATTCTACTTTCTGTCTGCCCCTAATCTAAAACCGCCAAGTAATCAGAAAGTCTGGATTTTCTTCTTGATCCCCACTTTTAATTTGTTGCAAAACAGTAAAGCATGTTAATTATTACAGCTTAAAGACACTAAGTGATGTTATCGCTTGCTTGTGTTGAAGGTAGTACTACATGTTGTTGTGTAATTTGATGGAGAGAGAGTCACTGCCCTGGAGAGTTTAACGTCTAGACTAGTTAGATTTACAAGGGAGTTCCTTTAAAGTCAAATAGATATCTTTAGTGCCAGAATAATCTGTTCATATTTCCATTTGATGAGTGTAGGCCCTGCAGCTGTTGACAGAGGAAGGAGGACTTTCCTCTTCTGTGTCACCTGTGTACTGGAGAATCTGGAATTTGTTGGATACAAAGACACCTTCTTTCCACAGTAATAATAGAGAATGATGGCTTACATAGCCTCTGGAGGAAGAAAAGCAAGTTAGAATGCAATGGATGTGGTATGTGGGAATTGTAGGCCTTTTTTCTATCTAACTTTGCATAGGATTGTGCCCTTAATTCTGTTTTGCATGCTTTTTGCCAAGACTTCAAGCAGTGTTGGTGAGGCTATTTCTAAGGTTCCTAATAGAGCTTTAAACAATTTGGATGCATTAGAATCTCCTGTAATTCACTGATTTTGACAGGTGCTGTTGTTCACATGAGCAACTGAAAGGCAGATACTTTTGCCACGCTGCTGTGATCTCACTTTAGAGCAATTTGCAGTGGCATGGTAAATTGCACTAGCCTCCTTATACGAAGAAATTTGCCCCATAAAGCAGCCTCCAGTCAGTTGCTCTTCAAGAAATAGTCGTGCTGCTGTTTATCCATATCAGTTGTGCCTCTAGTTCAAACTGCATTTTTCCCTGCACCACACGACTGCTATTAAACATCTGTGCATCTGACCCTCTGAAAAATGAGGAGCAAGTGAAATGTAGTGTGGGCTAAGGTCTGTAATAGACATTTTAAGGAATTTGGTTACTCATTTTGCCATTTGCTAAAGCATACATACAACCTTTCAGCCTCCTTTAGCCTATACTTTGTTTGCACTGAAAATGTAAAAAATTACCTTACATTTTATAAGTACTTGTACAATCACAAAGTTGTATCTAGGTTTTTGCTGTAGCACATGATTCCCACTTTTGGGAAGACTTGAAGTTCATGGCCCAAATTTAGTGCTAATATCTGAAGTAAGAGTATGTGGAAGACCCCGTACAGATGTACTTTGAGACTGGGAACCAGAGAATACTCATGCGTCATAGAATTGTGTATGCAGCTACAGTTTCCATTTTCTTTTTACTTCAGGCTCTTCTCAGTGTCAAACAGACATTTCGATCTTTAAACAGAAGCTAAACAATGGGAACTTGCTGTGATGACAGATGAAAGCAAAGGTTCAGCTGCACGAGTGAGTTTTGCACACAGGGCTCTTTCTCTTTTTCGGATTTTATGCACACAGTTATTTCATGTGTACATCTCATTCCTTTTGGATTCTGGCCTAAGTGCATATCTGTTCAGAAGCAGGCTTCCCTTCTTTCTTGGCTGTAATATCTTGCTAGCAGATGTTGGTGGGCCAGGAAAATGCGCAGTGATGTGTATATGATTTCATTTTAGCATCTACATCTTTGCTTTCTCTGTATAACCTATAGTTCCTGGTTCTTCCATGCGGACACTTGGAATTGCACAAGCTGTATGTGGTCCCAGCTTTTTGCTAACCACATCCCCCAAAATAGAAAGTCTAAGAAAAACAAAGTGGGACAATAATTTGAAAAATAAATAAGGGGCGCGAAAGATCAAAATAATTTTTTTAAAAAATGTAGGTAGTGACAGTTATTTAGAAAGGTGAGTCTGGAAGCTACCTGCAAACGTCAACATGAATGGGGATGTACTTTGCCCATTAGTGGTTGGTTTTGTTTTTGGACTGTATTGAAGCCCAGCAAAATCTGGCTTAGATTTTGAACCTAAATAGTCATTTCTGGTTTTTCCACTATCACCTCTTTGATAAGGCATCTCCCTGTCTCTGTTGGCATCATCTCAAGGCCTGTCTATTTGCATGGAGACTGCAGAATCCTATGGACAGTTTTATCACACCTAGCTTGCTGATCGAGCAGGCTTGGGCTCTTATCCAGAGGAATGTGGACTGTTTGCACCAGCTGTGTATGCCGTAGCTAGTTCGTCTTTGTGTTGATGGAAGGCTTGCCCTCAAAGCAAGTTTTCATGTATGCATTTCTGTTTTGTTCATTATACACTTTTCTGGTTGTTCCCCCTCTGCTCCCTCTTTGTTAGACAAAATTCGTTTGCTGGTAATGGTCCTGAGCGTGGTTACTTGAATGTAAATTCCATGAAATCAGTAGCATTTCTGTGTAATTTTGCTTGGGATCTCGATGTAAGAATCCTAATAGCAACATTGGAAATTTTACCTATGTATGCATGTTCTAAGTTGTGCCTGAACACAGAAGCACCAAAATCATATCACTTATTAGTTTGTAGCTTCATAGATTATTATCCCCAGAAGAGGCTCAGCATGGACAGAGATGTGGCCTTCAACCTGAGAATTCATATTGTTGCTATGCATCCATGATCATTTGGGTGATCTTGGTTCTAAGTCTCTCTGCTGAAGCCTTAAGTCCTCTGGGTGGTTCCTGAGGGTTGTGGCTGCAGCATCAGCCCTGCTTCCATGCAGGAATCATCATCTTGTGGTCTGCCAATGTCTGCTATTTGTGTGTATCTGTTGTTCAGCATGCTTCTTGATGCTGTCCTTTTTATTGGTCTTTGAGGTTCAGGGTCTGCAGATTAGACAGTTAGTATGTGTTGCAGCTTTGTCAGTTCTGCATCTGCTTGACTTCTGTGGGAATTGTTTGGGCATGAGCTTTGTCCCTTCATATATTTAGGGCCTAATTTATTTGTGTTGAAATATTGCACCTGTGTTTATGGGGGCAGTGGGAGCCAGGACTTCACAGGGATATGGCACCAGCACCTTTTACTTAGCAGGATGCCAATCTACCTCTCTTAGAATTTTCTATTTCTTCTGAGTTTAGTTGAAATTCTCAGAATAGCTGGAGATGGGCAATAAATTTCCCTAGCATCAATATATTGCAGCCTGTTGTAATGCAAAGTGTTTCCTGATGAGATGGCCTTGAATGGGCTGTTAAGACCAATTTGCTCTATGAAAGACCTGCTTCTGGAGGGGATAAAATGGATCAACACAGCACCCTGAATTTTTGGACTGTCCTTAGGAAGTTGCTATGGGGATTGTCATGATGAGTGCCTGCACTTCTAAATTTATCCCCGCACCATGGAGGGAGCTGGTGGGCTCTGGTCCTGTTGTGAGTAGAACTCATTTAACGTTGCCATTTCCCCAGCTTCATGCCCAATAGCCTCTGTTGTCTTTTGATTCAAGCAGCAAAGCCTTGGCTGGTATACACAGCCACTGTTGTGCTACCCGAACTTGCTGAATCAATAATAGTCTCCTAACCGTTTCACTGCAAAAGTTAAATCCTTTTCACTGCAGTGTTACCATTGTGCCGTGGCCTTTGAATACAATCCCATTTGTTGTATGGGTCAGTTGCTCAAACAGCTGTAAGGTGAAGTTGAGTTGCACGTTTCTAGTTGTGAGCTTGTGTGCATTGTCTAAATTGTTTGGCCAGAACTCTGTTGAAAAACACTTCCAGATAAGAATATTAACAGTTTAAACCAATGCAACTGCCTGTCATCTTCCAAGTCTGGAGCACTCTGCTATGGGTACCCTGTAGAGCAGGGGTCCTCAACCTTTTTCAACAGGGGGCCAGTTGAAAGGTGCCGGCAATGGGTGCAGGCCACCAAGGCGGTGCAGGCAGGGGGACATGGGATGTGCGGTGAGGTGCCAGCTTGCTCAGAAGGAGATCCATTTCTCCGAGTGAGCCCAAAACTTTCTCTGCATGAGCAAGTCCCTGCCTTGCCACACGCATGCGCAGCAAGTCCAAAACCTCTATTGGGGGCCAGATAAGTGGGCATGGGGGCTGGATCCGGCCCGCAGGCTGTAGTTGAGGATCCATGCTGTAGAGGGTAGAAGGAGCTGTGCAAACACTTAGATAGTTGCTTTCAGCTGTCTAAACATTTTGAGGGACTGCCTGGCTATTAGCCTGCTGTTGCAGCCGTCTCCTTGCCTCCTGGAACATTCACAAAATGCCATTTCTAGGGCTGCTCTTGCAACTTTGGAGCTGTAGCTGGCATGATTCTTCCTGTGTCAGCTACAAGGGTAGGGGGAGAGAGTTCTGGTGAACCAGCTCCAACTTTGGAGCGAGTTTCAAGGTCAGAGTTTGAACTCTGAATTCTCCTATGGCTGTCTAGACAATGTCTAGCAGCTATAGCATTGTGCCCTCAGCTTATTGTGGCTTGTAAACTCATTGTTTCCATGGTTCTGCAATTTCTGCCAAAAATGCAAGTATTATTATTACAAACCACATTTATATCTCACTATTCCTCCAGTGTGCATAATATGGTCTCATTTTCATCCTCTCATGCATTCTATTAAGTGAAGCTGTTGTTAGATTGACTTGCATTTCATCACCTAGTATAAATCTGAATTTGAATCCAGGACTCCTCAGCTCAAGTTTAAAACTCTGTTCACTGAGTAGAATTGTTATTCCAGTCCTAAAGTACATTTTGCTCAGTGAAGACCCCAGGCACCCAACTTTATTTGGGGAAAATGGTTAAGAGCTTCCTGTTTTGGGGAAAGCTTTTAAATGCTTAGTTTATTGTTGGATTGATTTAGTGTAAAACCTCTTGGACACATTTATCTGTGGTGTATTTCCATATTCTGCATACTTTTAAATCTTTTATCGTTCACTCGCTAGGATTTTATAAGACAAGCAGTATATAAACAAGGCCATAATAATACACCAGCCTGGCTTTCATGTCTTAAGAAGGAAGCATTTTAAATAAAACAAAGGGAATTGCATGAAAGTATCTGTGTTCTTTTTTCCAGACACTGAAAAACAGCAAGATGAAGTTGCTGGGTTTCTCCCTGTGTATAGGAACCATGAAAACTGTGAGTTGAAGAAGCCGCCACTGCTGTTTAAGATTTATGTACTGCCGTTGGTGTGCCAAGGATTGCACAAAATAGAAACGAGCCGGTCCCCACGCCAGAGGTTTGCAGTCTACATTGGAATTGTTTTCAAGGGATTATGTTTTACAGCAAACTGATAACCTCAAGAAGAACAGCATTGAATGCCCCTCTGGTTATGTGCAAAAGACGTTGGGATTTATGCTGAGACAAAACTGGATTAACCATGAGGCCAAAGACTTTCCCTGCTACCACTTACTCTGGGAACAGCAGACAAAGATTGCAGGAGATTCGGGAAGGTTTGAAGCAGCCTACCAAATCTTCCAGTCAGGGATTACCTATTGGGCCAGGTGGTGAAACTTCTCTGGACCCTAAAATTCTAGTAGGGAAAGATGCTGCCAGGCAGCAGCAAATGAGACCGGCTGCCAAGTTTGGGCCTTACCAGAAAGCACTGCGAGAAATCAGATATTCTTTGTTGCCTTTTGCTAATGAGTTGGGCACTACTTCTGCAACTGTTGAAGTTAATAGGCAGATGCTGCAGGAGCTAGTGAATGCCGGTTGTGATCAGGTAAGCATGGACTTGGAGCAAGCTGGATCTGCAACAGAGTTATGAATGTCTGTGTGTGTTGTATTGGCTATGGATTGTTTTGCAAATATAGAGGAAAAACTAAAGCTGCAGAGTATGTGTAATGTCTTCATGGGCTTGTGCAATGAGCCCTGTGTTTGACAATAGTGCTCACTCTGCAATGTTGAGATATGATTAGGGGAGAATGTTTAACAGAATGTGGTAAATTACCTTGCAGTGTTCTATAAACTGTCCAGAATAATCTTCTGTAGCTGAAAAATTTCCAGTGGGATTTACCATTGCTGATATCAGTTTGGGTTTTCCAGAAAAAAAGAATGCATGTGTGGGGGGGGGGGGGGGGGAGATTCCATGCAAATTAAATTAATTTGCATAGGAAAAAATCTGTTATATGGGGCAGCTAATGCAAGTTACCCTTTGCAAATTAGGTTAATTTGCATCAGAAAACTTATTGCTCCCTTAAGGAGTAACCTAATTTCGCATGTTTGTTTTACTTGTGTTTCATAAAACAAAAAGAGCACTTCTTGTTAATTTTTGTCTCAAACTGCAAGTATTTGACCTGAAATATTTGAGGGAGAAATGAAAGCATGCTTTTTATGATACACATGTTATTTTAAGTTGAATTATTTTATTTGAGTACTTGTTTTTGGTTTGTTTGTTTTTTAAGATCACTAGCATGTGTTTTCCTTGCATTTTTGAATTTAAGGTGGGGAAACAAAAAGGTGCTGGCACCTGTTGACACACTAATACATTTTAACAACCCATAGAACTGAGCCTGATAAACTGACAACTCATCTGCGACTTTGAAGCTGCCCAGCTTGCTCAATAGTGACTTTGCAATTTGTATCTACTCTTTGTTGCTGACTTATAAAATGAGGGGGAAAGTCATGAAGGAAATAAAGCACAGAAAAAATGTCTGTTTTGGAACATTTTCCACTTCATATCACAGATGGCTGGCACAGAACACTGTCCTGCTCTTAAAGGAAAACATGAAGACACTGGTGTGCTTCCGGAGTGCTGTGCTTGTGATAACCAGTGGATTGTACCCATTATGTGATTTGTCTCTACGTAATGTTTAGTAAATTTTGATTCCCTGATGCTTTGCCAGAATTGGTTAGTGAAACGGGACTCCTTTATTCCTTAATGCTCTGGAGTATCTGAATAACAGCAATTAGGACAAGCAATCTGCTGAATACTTGGCAACAGGATAGTCTTCACAAGACCTAGGAACATGAGAAGCTGCCTTATGTTGTCAGAACATTGGTCCACCTACCTTCATGATCAGGGACACTGCCTGGAAGTGGCTTTCCTGACTTTCAGGTAGGAGTCTCCTAGCCCTCCCTGAAGATGCCAGGGATTGACCTCGCCCTTCTCCATGCGAAGCATGTGCTCTGCCACTGAGCTAAGAGTATAGCCTTTGTTATTGCATCAACACCGTGTTGGCAAATTATGTACAGGACAGAATGTGGCTCTTTCTGTTTTTGCCTCATTATCAACTTTCAGAGTTTTATATTAACTCTTGTGATGTAAACAGCTGAAAACCTGGGTTTGTAAGTCCAGTTTTAACAATTCTGGACTGTGTTTGCAGAGGGAAGCCTAACAGTGCAATCATATGCATCTATATTCAGATGTCAGCCCCACTGTGTTCAGTGGGGCTTATTCCCAGGAGAATGAGTATAGGACTGCAGCCAAAATGTAGCTGGAGCATGACAACAGTATAGTTGAGTGCTAGAGAAAGAAGGCAAAATTTAATCAAAGTCTGAATTCAACACTTTGGAGCCTTGACTGTTGCCCTCAAAAGTCAGCAGTTTTAAAATGTGGGTTAATTGGAGTTTGATCCCTGTTTCACCAGGACTTTGCCTGGACTGATTTCAATACTATATTCCTTTATCTCTCTTTGTGCATACTAACTGCAACCAACGCATAGAGCTCCTGGCATCAAAATGATTTCTGTGCTGGGGTGAAAGCCTAAAGAGTCCAAGTCATCACAACTCTGCTTTCAGAACTTAAGCACTGGCCAAATGGAATCCCTTACTTTGCTTCACATCTTGCTGAACTGGACTTCCCTATATGGCAAATAAGGCAATTGTGTATCAGGGTTGATGTCAGGAACTGGGTTTCCTCCTGCTTTCTTTCATTTAATTGGCAAAAAAGCACTTCAGTTGCAATGTACAGCCAGCAGACTATAGCTAGCAGAGGAAGAGCCTCTGAACATGCACAGAGTGGTTCATTAAACCCATACTAGAGACTCTTTCCATGAGCCCTCCTTTTTAGTAACCCAGGGCTCCCTTCCTCAGGATGTGCCCCTATGGAGAAGGGCTAGCCTCCTAGATCTAGACAGGCCCTCTGATTGGTTAGCCCATCTCACCTGATGCCACATCATTGGGTCAGGGACTGGACCTATTTCAAACTGTCAGTTCCCAAGGGCTGCCTGAACACCCACGCTCCACCCTTCTCTATATCCACAGACTTTGTTTCCCAGTCCTCACCCAAAGAGTCTTGGCACTCTGGTCTTGGAAAGTGCACCCAGAAAAACGGCCTCTTTCATTCCCAACAGCTGAAGAAAATGCCCAGAAGGCTGTGTTCTTTACAGCTTGTTCCCTGTCTGGATGTTTCCTTGTTTGTGTGTGTGAATGAGCACTATCTTGTAATATATTACTGCTACCTTAAAATCAGTAATAGAATGGATGTAACTCCTTTTTCTTTTTAAAGCAAGAGAACCTGCAGTCCTTCACTATCTCTCTGTAAGCACATCACTGGAAAGCTTGTACAGATCTTTTGGAACATTGTAAAGCTAGAATCTAGACTCTTACCATGGCTGGATGTGTGTACCTGCCCCCATCCAGTAGGCATGACCAAGGAACCATACCTCATGCCTTCCCACATATTCCTTCAACTATATATTTCTTCTGTTAGCTGACTTAATAAATAATCAATCTGTGGAAGATCAGAACTGGTTTCCAGTATAACCTACAGATCACAAGAAATAGAACTGTAATACATGATAAGATTGTAATTTGGAAATAATCTATATTAGAATTTGGATCAATCCTCTCTTCTGGCCATCCTGCATGCATGGCCTGCATGTTATAGGTCAACATGGTTTACATGTTGGATTCAAGCCAGCACTTGTGTAAAATTATTTCATGTAGGAATTTTGTCATATATAAAATTGGTGCTAAGACTTTGCCTTGTATGTTGCTTCCAAAAGTGTATACTAAATAACTGTCCAGGTTTTACTATATCAATTATATTTATGCACTGGGAGAAATCATCCCATAGGAGAAGATTGAAGTCTTGCATTTATACTCACTCTGTATTTTTAAATAATATATTTCATTAATTTTATCCTGCCTTTCTAGTCAAGGTCAAGGTAGCTTATATAAACCCAAATCCACATACCCCCTGTAGCACCTACAGGATTTCCTGTAGTCATGGGGATGGGGTATGCTACCTAGCTTGTCAGCCCTTCTCATAATTAGTATAAGAATTATGTAAATAAATCCAAAAAAATTTACTTGGTCATATATGCAAGTTTCTGATATCCAGAATTCCCTTTTAAAAAAACAGAATGATATGTTTTAAATATAAAATACTCACACAGTTCCACACATCACTATATACTAGTCCCTGCAACAAAATCACAACATAAAGTGCCCCATTCACCATTCCAGACCGTGCCTCCAGTCAGCCATTTTCCAGGATCTTCCATGTCATTCCCCCTCATATCCCCACTGAGCCTGCTGATGCCTCCTGTTATGTGTGGGTGATGTCACTTCTGTTCCATAAGCATTGCCACTCATGCCTAAAGTCCTGAAATTGGTTAATAGTATTGGTTGTGACTGTTGTTAGAGAATTTGCAAAATTCCCCGAAGTGTCACAGATACTTTGCCTCTTGCTGCAGGACTAAAGTAAAAGTGATAGGATACCACCAGATTTATGTTGCCAAGGAACATCTATAGTTCTGATCTGGCAACTTTCAGTTCTTTAACAGTGTGTACCAGCATTGTTAGATCCTCATAACATTTTGCAGTGGAAGCAACTAACTTGTCACCCTTTTTCATTCCAGAGAGAGAAAGATTAAGCTAGAATGCAAGCCACTTCAGGTTGATGAACACATCCAATCATATGCTCAATTGAATCTATTCAGTGCAATTAAAATATTTGAAAAGCTACTATCTACAAGTGCATGTAGTATTCCATGTCTAATTGCCTAGGGTATTCCCAGCTGTATTAGTGATCTGCAAAAAACATATCTGCAGTCCTGTGCCAATATTTCTTGAAGAATGAAAGCTGCACTTTCAAGCCAAGCAAGTTTTGTTTACCAGCCAGTGGGCAACTAGCAGCATTTCTGGCTTCATATTTTCGTGCTGAGTAAGGTCATACTTCTTACTGTCAAGTTCCACGAGTCCTGGAACTGTCTGCTCATTTTTTGTTAAATCAAAACATCACATGCTATTTGCTTTAGTCATTTTTGAAAGAGCAATAGTTATACCAGTGTGAGATAGATCCAGCTGTTGGGAAAAGAATGAACTTGGGGGTGGGGTGGGGATTGTTAAGGCTTCCTTTTGTATTCAAATTATTTACCAAACTTAAAAAACTCAATCTACCTACCCAGTGGTGGTAAGGATAAATCTTTACCTTTGTGGCTTGAAAAAATTGAGGTTTAGCATTAAGTCCAAACTGTGATTAAATTGAAAGTATCTGATTATGCTTTTTAGACTAGGTGCTATTTCCCATTACATCTGAACTTTGAGAAACTTGGGTTAAGGTTAGGAAACAAGCTGGGATCATAAAGCATTCTTTAACCTTGGCTTGCTTGAACTAGCCAGAATTCTCTTAAGTTCAGATGGAATGTGGCATCCTGGTCATTTTAAAGGCAGAATCAAAAGCTGCCTTTCTCCTTCTTGTGGATTGCACTGCATGGCATATGCCACTGTAAGGATCCTGTATCAGTGGTAAATACCATCAGGCATGTATCATCG